AACCGCCCAATGAGTGAGAAAGCTTGTAGATATACTCAAGGCCTTACATATTGAATGATCCAGCCAGTGTTGTCGCCATAGGGGGGGTATCTACATCAGTAGATACTAAGTATGTTCAAAATAAGCAACACGCGGTCGATAGGTGGCAGTGGCGGAGGATAGGGTTTTCATGCCACGGATTAGATTCGAACAGTCTTTCATCAGAGAACCTGTGAGAAGAAGATATCGTCATATATCGTTATATATCGTAATATATAGGAAAGGTTTTCGTCACATTGGAATATAAAGTGATATAAAGCAATATATGACTATGTAAAGCACCATAATCAGCATAATCCCCAGCAAGAACTCACCGGTTTACTGATGTTACAATGCTCTTCGTAACAAGCATATGGCGCGATTTTTTCACGGCCTCGCAGGTAGAAACCTCGTTGTGGCCAGAAAACACGGCGCACACAGCATCGCGAATCTCGTCATCTGGGAGGCAACAGAGAACGCACCTAAGGCGAGTCCCGAGGACAAATAGCAACATTGCTCTGATTATGACTCTGAGAGGACTCCTCACTCTGGCGATAACCATCGACATCAGATTTGTAAAAGTGGAAATGTGTAACATGGGACGCGCAGGCACGAAATGTTGACATAAGGTCGTATGAAGAAGCAGTTGCGGGCCGTAATATTGGAAATTCGCCAACGAATGTGGGGGTTTCCGTAGCAGATTCTCTCGACAAGAGACGCAAAGACACGGAGTCACCAATCGGTCATCCCTTTAGAGCATAGTATGACAAGACCGCACAATTCGAAGTCATAAGAACGTGCTCCGGTAAATACTCATTCTGCAACAGAGAAAGATTCAGTTTAGAGACCGCGATAGGTACAAGATCAACAGCACGAACATTATATGCACAAACTGCGCATGCGCGATGTTGGATGTCATTGTTTCTTGCTATCCAGCAACGATCCGCATCTTGTCTTCCGTGGTACAGGTGGTCGGAAACTGCGGATCGTCCTCGATAACAACGCCAGCAAAAGGGCTGTACCCACGGCGATGAGTAGCAGTGCCCTGTTCTTTACTCACGATCTGTTGTGGCTCAAAGAGTTGAGCACGAGAAAAGCCCTCGGAATAGCGGACGCGTGTTTGCTCGACATCAGGAAAACTCCACTTCAACAATCAGCTATAATATGATACAATGTGCGCTGATCTGCGCATATTTTACCAATTGAACAATACGGTAGATTTTTCAAGTCCCTTGACAATATTATCCAATTTGCTTCAATTTGCTTCAATATGGCGCACATTTCAGCGTCGTTTTTTCAAATTCACTCTACACAAATCACAGAATTCAAATATCAAATGTATACTAGTTAGTCCTCCGCCATTGCATCAATGTCGAGGAACATAAGTGTTGCGTCAGTGTCTGGATCCACCTTACTACGCTTCGAGCCACTGCAGGGAAGTTGTAGTCAGATATGAGCAGACTTGGAGCTGCAAAACACCACATACTAGACAGTCATATAGAGTGAATGCATGAGTACATGAAACTTGCGCTCGCTGTTCTTGAAGATACTGTTCAACGTGCTGACCAAGGTTTTGTATATTCCACCATACAGGTCAGAGTTGAAGTCTCTGTCGTATTTGTCGGATGAATAGCGCATGATGACAGAGCATACCTGTAACAGCAGCATGAGTATGGTCATCTGATCTTGTGTATCATTGTCAACACAAGATCGCAAAGCACCCGTCTGCGAGACGCGTGTCATTTGACACACTTGCTAATGAATATGGCACCCCGTACTTTCAAGCCGCGCTTGCACGTTTCATTGCCGAAGTTAATCAACCAGCGTTGACTGTCAGGCAGCTAGAAGATGCTGCATGTGGGATGATCATTCCCTTCCGTGCAGTAGCCGTGTTCCACAAGGTTCGCTACAACACTGTACATGACGACGGTATCCCGAACACAGTCACGGTAGATTCGATTCACGTGCGGCCTCAAAGACGTGACCACCACAAACGCCAGGTTCCTGCCAGATTTGACACAGCCCTAGTGAACATGGGGCATGGTGGAAGACTAGGTGTTGAAGGTGAGTCGCATGCTAAATTGTATTGTTTCAATTGTTAACACTGGTACCTTACCTACCAGGCTACCGTGTTGCGCAAATTCGGGTCATTTTCTCACTATCGGCGAAGGCGAAGCAGGCAGTCTTTCGTAACGCAGGTTTACCCGATCATTTTGCGTATGTGGAGTGGTTCACTCCCTTCTCCAACACTCCCGAAGCCAATCATGGCATGTACAAGGTTTTGCGGGCATTCTGCGATGGTGAGAAACAGGCTAGCATTATACCAGTCCGCAATATACGATGCTCGGTACATTTGATTCCGCAGTTCGGACCTGTTGCTCCTCGTGAATGGACATCAAGCAATGTGCTAGATCAGTGTAGGACATTTTTCGTTAATGAGTTTACAGATAGAGATGCCTATGTAACATTATTCTAAGAGATTGGATGTGATTATAGCCTTGTAAAATAATTGTAATGGATCCACGGAAATATGATCCCATCCTCGAGAAGTTGATTCGCTGATGTACGATTTCCATGCCTTGTCGGAATTTGATAAAATTTGCGAAGATTGTAAGAGTGGGATTTTCCTGATGGACTGAGCAGTGCGTCACGGATAGAGCAGATGCTTGACAATCCTCAGTACATGCATGGACACGCAGTAGATTACGTGCATAGTCACAAGCATGGAACACTCTGATGGACAGAGAATGAACGTGCGCCAAGTCATTGAAATCAGCACGAGTCGTCATCAGAAAATGGTCAATCAAATGACGGATGCTCAGAGTAGGCACTGACAAAAAAACACCAGCTGGATACTGACGCTGCTAAGTAGCGGTAAACTGCGCCCTCAATACTCAAACAATCTTCAAAGCAGGCTAGAGGAAACAATATAGACACCATCATCAGCCATATGCTGGCCTGTTACAACAAGTGCGACAGGAAGAACCAAAGCAGATGATGAAGATGCGGCTATGAATAGAGAAATGACAAGCCCAATAAGGGGAGCAAGGACGGCAAATAGCGCAGGAAATTGTGAACATATGAATTTGAAGAAGGTCCGTGAAAGTTGAAGAAACTGTACCTCCAGGAATTGGTTCAATCAGGTTCAATCAATCAAGTTCAGATGGCATGTGTACTTTGATTCTACTTATGTCTAGGTCTACCTTCTGGAACATTTCCTTCTACCTGTGCAGGCGATTTGAAAGGCGCTAGGTTAACAGCTGGTAGTACCATACTAATTCAACTAACGATCACAGGCTTCACCATGACAGCTTGCCTTTGTCCAAGAAATAGGTTGATCTACGATAAGGAATCAGGGATCTAACTAAAAGCAAAGATCTTGCCAGTGCCTCTTCTTGACTATGGACAGTGTAATCCAGGAGTGCCCTATCCATGTGTTTCTCAGGGAAACATCTCGCTATGTGGGAGCACTTGAGTGGGTGTCTCATCGAGGAGACTCTTGTTTCGCATGCTTACAGTCTAATCCTGGCACACAGCCATGCTGCTTCTGTGCTCGAGAGAGTTATAAAAGATATGACTGGTGATTGGTATTGTTATCAGGTTCTGGTCGTCTTGGTTACTGACATGCACTGCTCATTGACTGCCTTTGTCAGGCTCAGCCTCACAGTAGTCTCCCTAGTGAGGCCCACTCTCAGCTCATATAATGTGCATGAGGAACACAGCACCATCCCTATTGGATGGTCTCATACTTGAAGGCATGAGAGTGCGGCAACCCTTCCTCTGCGCATTGCTCTGAAACAGAGTAACATCAAGTCCATCGATGAATATCTTTATGTTGTTTCTCACCACAAGTCAGCTAACTATGGCAAGCACTGGACTGCAGGAGAGATTGCCCGAAAATTCTCACCCTCAGAAGAATCCATTTCCACCGTCAGAAACTGGCTTGTTGAGAATGGGCTAGTGAGCAAGCGCATCCACATAAGTCCCACCAAGGGTTGGATTAACGTTGATGTTACGGTCGAAGAAGCAGAATGGCTCATGAACACCGAGTATAATTTTTACACTCACGTTTCTGGACAGGAGTACATCGGTCAATATCTTCATAGAGGACACTATTGCTGTTATGACGGTAGTTGCGTGCGAACTGGGATGATCTAACAGCGACAATCACGACAGTGATACCTTGTGCTGAGAGTCCAAGGTCGGCTCTTACAGACAAGCAAGAGTTGCGTATGCTAGCGGTGGCGAGCGATGATAGCGGTTACAGGCAGAAGGGGTCTCAAGTCCTTCTGAAGGTGCGGATCAGATGTCGAGCAGGTAGCTTTAGCAAGACAAGGAGTTCAAGGTAAAACCCAGTAAGATTAAAGTAAGGAACATCTACTTTAATCATCAACCTTATATAAGGTTACTCTATCATATCTAAGCTCAGCTTGAAGCTGGGTCCTAATCTGCTTATCTATTGAGTCAGAGATACCATGCATGAGGCAGGCTTCTATCTATGATAAGGACTGCGAGGCGTCCTTCTATCAGTACACAAGGCAACCATGAGGCTTGCCTTCTATCTTGATATCATTAATAGGTCATCTAGACCTATGTCGTCATCTGTCATCATATGTGGTCCAGACCACTTATCTAAGCCAGCATCTTCTGGACTTCTCTTCTTCTATCTTTCTGTCGTCAAGGCCTCAAGGCCCGGGTATCATATCATTGCCGTGCAAGGTGGCAGAGGGCATATTGCTAGCTGGGGGCTCACACCATGTTACTGTAACAATTGCGGTACTCACTCACCACTTTTTAGCTTGCGAAGCCTATAATCTCCCTGAGCACATCAGCGCTCATGTTGACTTTGTCCTACCATCTGTCAACTTCGATGTGAAACTCAAGCATTGATCTGGTAGTCAGCCAGAACCTGCTCGCTCGATTGGTCAACCTGGTGCAGGAATCACCCCCAAGACTACCGGCACCATTCCACAGACAGTGATCGAGCTTGAACAGTGTGATGAGTACATCACTCCGATTTGCTTGAGGGCTCTATATGAAGTTGTATACGAGCCTGTTTCTGCTGAGAACAACAGTTTCGGCGTTGGTATGGTCTCTATCCCATTAGCAATATTGTGAGCTAATTCATCACCTAGTGGAATATACTCCAGTTGATAGTGTCAGAATGATACATTAAATACCTGACAATTGTCATATAACCCTGATACATAAATGCTGTAATCTGTCATTCTCCAGGAGCGATGTATCAGTACAGATCCTCCAGCAGATACCAGCACTGGCTGATACATCAGTGCAAATCCTCATTTTGTGCCCTAGCACAGCCTTTTACAATGTCACATGTTCGCATTTTTAGTCATCTGGTGTGTGAACTTCTCCATAACACCAAAAACATAGCCTATTTTGGATGTCTCCACAGTATGAAACCTTCCTACACTCTTCCCAGTCAATCCCTGGCTCACTATAACACCACAATTAGATACAGCTTGTAGGTAAGTGGTATCATATGTTATATACATATAATAGAACATAATAGACCACTTTTTCTGTCTATTTTTGTACTAATGGCTGCTCCAGGGCCTCTGCAAATGTGATATAATATAAAACATATCAAAAACAATTTCGCAATTTTGACCATTTGGTATTGGATTATTGGAGAGTATTTATAACATATTTACCAACATATATGAAGCTATCCCAGCCCTTATTTGACCTCCTAGAGTGCCCTACATCAATGACTGTGCTATATCAACATAAAACATAAAACAGGTTTGCTTTTTTTGACCTTTGGGTATATAGACTCAAAAATATCATTCCCAACATCCCTTCAATTATATACATAACATATCAGGAGCCTGGGCCAACAGAATCAGTCCCTGTGGTGCTACATGCTTATCCTCTCCTAGTGGTTTATGCCCTGGGAAATTTTTTCCTGCAGCTCCAGCCCTCCAGGATGATAAGGTGCTTGTTCCTATTGGTATTGAGAGTATTCTGGTTATATAGCTACATCATAATAACATCAGAATCCCTCTCTGCAATGAAATATCTCCTTCTACCTATACCACTGTATATTTTCGCACTTTTGAGGTTTTTCACTATATTACTCTTGCATAAACTATACAAACTGCTTATATTTACCTTCTAGTACATATTTGAAGTCCTTTCATAGCAAGGATCATATATAAATATGTCAGAGTATCAATATCAAGGATATATCTTCTACTTTTACTGATTAGGAATTTAAAACATATACAAGATGATATATTATAATTAGACTATCACCAAATATACTATACATACTAGGACACATAGGCCTTAGTTACTGGAAGGATCCATCAAGAGATGAGAGCAGGGGAACCTAGTAGATAAGAAAAAAAGCATGGGAAACTCAAAAATCAAAACATCGAAAATAGTTGTCTACACAGTCAAGTTAGTGGTAGGTGGTAAGACTGTAATTCTCTCAACTTTGACACCACAACACTTCCACATTACCTTAACTCTTAGAATATAGTGTAGTATAGGATATTGGGGTAGTCTACATTCTATTTAACTCATTTCTGACAAAATCTTCGACCTAGATGTTAGTTAAATATGAAGATATTCACACATTTCTCCTATTAAACTGTAAGTAAAACCATAACCACACATTTACTTTTCTTATCACTCACTCAGTTGTGAATGGATCTTTCTACAAGTTTAGATCTCGGATTATGAGTATATGCCCAATATATAGCAAGTGTCTGATTACACAGATGTGTCCTCATGAGATCCTAGATTACTTATCAGTAAAATAACTAAGTCAGACCAACATACTTCTGATATACATATTTATACATGATCCTTGCTATGAAAGGACTTCAAATATGTACTAGAAGGTAAATATAAGCAGTTTGTATAGTTTATGCAAGAGTAATATAGTGAAAAACCTCAAAAGTGCGAAAATATACAGTGGTATAGGTAGAAGGAGATATTTCATTGCAGAGAGGGATTCTGATGTTATTATGATGTAGCTATATAACCAGAATACTCTCAATACCAATAGGAACAAGCACCTTATCATCCTGGAGGGCTGGAGCTGCAGGAAAAAATTTCCCAGGGCATAAACCACTAGGAGAGGATAAGCATGTAGCACCACAGGGACTGATTCTGTTGGCCCAGGCTCCTGATATGTTATGTATATAATTGAAGGGATGTTGGGAATGATATTTTTGAGTCTATATACCCAAAGGTCAAAAAAAGCAAACCTGTTTTATGTTTTATGTTGATATAGCACAGTCATTGATGTAGGGCACTCTAGGAGGTCAAATAAGGGCTGGGATAGCTTCATATATGTTGGTAAATATGTTATAAATACTCTCCAATAATCCAATACCAAATGGTCAAAATTGCGAAATTGTTTTTGATATGTTTTATATTATATCACATTTGCAGAGGCCCTGGAGCAGCCATTAGTACAAAAATAAACAGAAAAAGTGGTCT